AAATCGAAAAATCGCAACGACAGGCGGTACACATCGCAAATTTATTACATTTCCTTGAGGAAATAATGAAGGAAAGTCAACTGTGTACGATTTTTGAAACGTACACGAGTATTTCACCTTTCTCACAGACGTAACAAATGATGATAATTTCTAAAACTATTTCCCTAAGGCACGTGTACTCACACAACTCAGGACAAAATGAATGAAATAACTAAAAAGAACGTCCAAATAACAACTTGCTTTGTCCTCATTGGCTAATATATGCTAGCTGACACGCAGTGGAGCTCGAAGCACATTGGAGAACTGGAGAATGACATTTCTGGATACGTTAATACTCTCACTCAAAAAGCAGAAGATATCTGATTTGCAAGGTTTTGTTTTAGATATAATGTAGAGAAAATTCAATTGCTTTTAGACGTCCAAAAGCACTTTTTTTATTCATATAACAAAGTATTAAGCCAAGTCGCATAAAAATCGTGAGAAATTTTAAGAATAAGAAAAAGTCAGGAGAAATATATTGTAAATCGGGTTGAAATCGGTCGAAAAATCGGGAGTCTCCCGCCTAAATCGGGAGAGTTGGCAACTCTGCATTTGATAACCAAAAATATTGGCATTTGCAGACAGTTTGGCTTGTGAATTCTAAATAGCTTATCAATGTACATTTTGCATGTTTCAAACATGATTTCGCATGTCCAAAAGAGCATTATAAAAAAGAGGGATACATTTTTTATCTAAAGCATTTTAAAACAAAATTACGAAGGTTAATATTTATTTTTGTTATTACCAGTCATTAAATTCTGTATCAATGTAGGAAAAAAAAAAAATGAATGGCCTGTTACTCAGTGCTTTCCAAACATGATTTTCACAATCTGCATTCTGCACCGAAGTGCTTGATATTTAATTGTGGGTATTATAAGACTCTATCCAACTTCAGCGGCACATATTTGTTTGTTCCTCAGGGTTTTCCAGGCTAAAAACACATAATTTCACTTCCAGTTCTTAAGAAGAAATTATTTATGCTTTTGATTTTCAAAGATTTGTGCAAAATTCAGCTTCACAAATACTATGATGATGCCCACCATATATCATAAACTATTTCACAGTATTCCTTCTTTGTATATTTTCTTGCCTTATTCGGTTTGGGGGGGGGAGGCGAGACAAAAATTAGAATCACCTTCCGCAGAAGACAATTTGCAATTATGCAACATTTATTCAAGGTTCATACACATTTCTGCACACAGGAATTAAGTACTTTTAAGGATCATTAATGAAAACAAAATTAAGGACCTATGAGCAAATGGGAACTGAATAAATTCAATTAAAAATATTATCTATGCCTGAACTTCACTGTTGTAATACCATCCTAAAAATAAATAGATCCATAAGTAGGATGCATTATTATTAAACTTAACATAATTATTAATAAGTTTGAGAATAAAAAAACTTCATAAATTTATCAAGTGGCATTAAATATTTTACACTTATAATAGTTGGACATATTTGAAAGAAGATAAGTAACATTTATTTACGTTTTGCTAACAGTTAACTTTTTGTTGATTTTTTTTTTTTTTTTTTTTTTAATGTCTCATTTTGTCACATACTTGCTCAGTCTAGAGGTTTAGTATATAGCAGGTAGATTTTATTTCAAACTATAGGTTAAAATGAGAAGTAAAATCATAACCAGCATTATTCAAAACAAAAAACTGGCTGTTGTCACTGCTACTGCTTGTCTAGAGAGAGACCTGCTGATCAGAGCAAACCTGAAAGGCCTGACGTAGGCACCATTGGCAAGTTTGGAAAGTTAGGCTCTGTCTGACACAGTTAGTGTTGTAGCTTCAGTTTTAGGGTTCTAATCCAGTTAATAAACTTTAAGGTTCCAATAAGCAAATAAAGCATTAGAGGTGATAAGTTGCTTTGTATTAAGTCTCGCTAGATGCGAAGAATAAGTTTTACCTGAATTTTTACATTTTTGTATTTTATCTTGTGAACATGGTAAGGATTAATGAAAGGCAATAACTCGCTTTAATATGCACAGATAATTTTTAAGGGTAAGTATTTAGTTATAAATGATTAAATTAGGTAGTAGATATAACCTTAGTCATTATGGATTTACATGTCCAATTTAAATTAAATTTATTTTTTAACAATATTTGTTAAAAATTGAATCCTAGAATCATCTCGCCTTCAAATCCTTCTAAACTTTCAAAGCTGCAGTATGTAAAATCTTAAAGAAAAATTACCCCCACCAATTCTGTAACACCAAAAAGCCACAAATATTTTGAAAAAAAAAAAAAAAAAAATCAGAGGGAAAAAGTGTAAAATTAATTTTGTAGAAAAAAACATGCATATTCTGAGAATTATGAATATTTTGAGACAATTACACGGGAAAAACTCTTACCATGAAAAAATTTTAAACGATATTTTATTAATCAATTACATAGCTATTTTGCTTTTGCTAAGAATCTTTTCATAAATTGTGCTTTATAGCTTTATACCTTATTTATTTTTCAGATTCAAAATATTGTATTAGTGGCCAAAATGGAACTTTATAATATGATAGTAAAAATTAAAAATGTTTTATTTTTTAATGTTACTTTTAAATATAATTTCAATATATCATTATTTTAATGAAATTTATCAAAGCAACAATGTTTTTAAAAAATTGTTGAAAAATTCTCAGATCCCAGAATTAAAAATTTTCTATAGAAACTGATCTTAAAAATCGCCAAATTTAAAATGATTTAATAAAAGAACTGACATCCCCCAAAGCAAAAAGTTATTTAAGAGCTCTTCATTAGAAAAAATGAAATGAAATAATGCTGAAAGAATAATGAAATTTTTCGAAATGAAATAATGTTGCACTTCTTTCATTATGAAACTCAAGTATCTCACCATTTATATCAGAAATAGGAACAAATTATAATCCATTCAAAAGTTGAACATATTTGTCAGTGAATCGTGAAAAATATTCTTCCAAAATGCTAATTCACACTCAAAATGGCAGTCATAAAAACAAACAGAACTTTCAGATGATTAAAATTAAGGACCTTCTGCGATTTTGGCCGAAATTAAAGACTTTTACGGACTCTTAAGAACTTTCGTACGAAGCCTGTTATTGTTTATTCAAACATGATAATTCTAAGTAAATTAGATTATTAAACAAATTATTGTTTTTTTTAACTGCATTTCTCTTCCCTTCATAATTACTCAAAAAAAAAAAAAAATAGTTGCATAAACGTTTCTTGATATTTTCATACACCTACCTTAAAGCTGCAAAAAAGTAGGAAGCTATCCACAATGTAACCAAATATATTTATATAGGAAACCAAGATGTCACCAAAAAGGATTTAAGTGGCAAACCAGGTATGTACGTGGCACAAGTGTGCTTGAGTACATAAGGATTTGCCTTTCTGAAATTCAACAGTCAATTTTCTGATTAATATTTCCTTTTGCATTGAGTGAATTTCCTTTTGCCATAGCAAATCATAATGGAACTTATAGAGTTTGCTTTCTTTTATTTTCATCAGGCTGTAATGCATGCTGAAGCTTCAACTGTCCTCGGGCAGCATTATTTCAGGTTATGTGAAATTTCCTGACTTTTTTTTTTTTTTTTTTTTTTTGGCAAAACTGAAGCTGTGTGTACATAAAAACAGCAGCAGAAAAAGCATTACATGTGTGCATGTCTTTTATGTAAAAAGAATAATGAGAAAAATAAGCAGCAATGGCTGCATCACTGATATAGATGCAAACATACCCAAATAAATATTTCTCTACAAATTTGCCATTGAATTCTTGAATGCAGTTCAAAGTTAGCAGTGAGTTCAAAACGTTTCAGAGAGGGAGTGAATAATATAAAAGTACCCTTTTCTTTCTTTGCTCTTTTTATTGTGTCCATAATAACTGCACATTTTTCGACACTAGCTTTAAGCTCCAAAGCTTTGTAACTGAAAAATTATTGACAGTGTATGCTTGCTTTTCTATAAGTAAACCTTGTTTTTACAGTTCTTGGAAAATTTCAATCCGAGAGTTATAGGACGCATCTTTATGAACTAGCGACAAACATGTTTACAGCTCATTTGTATTATTGTGTTTAAAAAATAATAAAAAAAAGCAGCTTTTTATAACAAACATGAATTTCTATAGGGGAAAAAAATTTCATGGCCTACTAAATAAAAAAATTACACTGAACTTAGGAAATCCTGTTTACAATGAACTACAACACTAATAATTACATAAAACAATATTAATATGGTAGTTATTGATTCAACTGAAGCTTGGTAGCACAAAATTCAACTTAATCCTTTTTTGCTCAAATTCAGATATAGTACAAAGTCTTTAATCCGGACTCGTCGGGACTTCGAGGATTCCGGATTAGGGTTTTTTCCAGATTATAGATTATCAATTTAAATCTGGTAAGATGGCATGCAGAAATTATAAAATTAAAAATATGAAACCATAATTTATGAAATAAAGAGCAATTATGATCTAAAGGGTATCAAAATTTACAAAAAAAAAAGAGCTTAATATTTATTTGTTTACTGTATTAAACATTTCTTTCAACGTGCGCATGCTTAAAGCATACATTACGCAAAGTCGAAATTAGATAATTGTAACCAGAAAAATATTTGATGAGTATTCGTGATATTTATAATGACGAGGAATTTGATTTAAATCATATCAAAGATGGAGTACATCGAGATGAAATACTACATTTAGTAATGAATTATAAGCTGAATAAAATAAAAACATCTGCTCTGAAGATAAGGATAGTGCTGACAGATCAAGTTCCAGTTAATTGCGCGCCGCGCGTTCATAAAGCAAAGAAACCTTGCAAGAAATTTGCAAGAAAGTGCTTCCCTTGCTCTCACCCTTGCCCCAGCCTTAAAAGAAATATACACTTCCTAAATACGGAGATACAAAATCAAAGAGGTAAAGGGTAATGTTTTAAAGGCTGAAGTATTAAATTATATACTTTATAACTGAAATAAATCTTAGTTTACCATATCTCGGGCATCAACTTCAGCTCCATGACTAATTAAAAGTTCAACAATATCCAGATGACCTTCTTGAGCAGCAATATGCAAAGGAGTTCTGTCAACTTTCGTTCTTGCATCTCGACTTATACCAGCTCTCAATAGAACTTCAGCCGTAGCTAGATGCCCATACTGAGCTGCCATATGTAAAGGAGAAGTTCCTAACTGCAAAATATAATTTAACAATGAACACAGAGAAAGCTATGAATGGTTTTAAGAGCACAGACATGCAAGAGACATTTGGACTGATTTATTCATGAAATACAGTAGATGGACATATGAATTTTGAAATTTATTTTCTGATTTTTTTTTCCCTATTTATTTTTGCAATGTTAAAAAAGTACAGTTTTAAAGAAGCTGAAAATTATATTTTAGTAACCTAAATTAATCATCATTTAAAATGAAATGTTTGAATACACTGTATTTAATTTTGAGCATTTATTTATTTATTGGTAAAATAATAAGTGTCCTCAAAATTTAATTTGGTTGTGCATACATAATTTTATGATAAAGTTCAATACATAAATGTATTATTGTACTTAATATAATAATTGTTATTATAAGCTTTTGATTACTATATAATTTATTATACAATCATTACAATAAATTACATATAATCATAATACACATTTGATAATTACTATCTTTTTAGCTTTGCGCTAATATCTGCATTATTTTACACTGAAAAGAAATTTCTTAATAATTAATTATAATAATTTTATGATGATAAATTATTAACATAATTATTTAAATTATAATGGTTATACTTTAACACGTTGACTGCCGTGGGGATCACCGGTGACCAGCACTCGACTTGGCTACAGTGATGTGGGTGCCTCCAGCGCCCGGCAATGCGACCAATAGTAAAATACATAGAGTAAATATCGATACTGATAAATTTTTAAATAGTACTATTGTTACTATAATGGTTTAAAGAATAATAAAAAGTAAACATTTAACTTATAAATCACAAAAATGGTCTACAGATGTTTGGGGGTTGCCACCATGAAATATGCATTAAACTCAATTATATAACTCCCCACTATCTTCTGTAGATAATATTTCAACATAATACATATCGCATAATAAAAATTTCAAGTTGGCATTATGGGCAATCCACGTCAAATGCGCACGGCAGTCAACATGTTAATAAATAATTATCGCATCTCTTTGATTTTCACTCTAAAAAAATCTATATGTATTATACACATTGAAAACAAAGAGCAAAACAAAACCAAACAATATAATTCCATGATTTTAGGTGATCTTATTTTTAAAAGTAAGTGATGTAATATGTATAGTCTTCATATGAATTTAAAAATATTAAAAAAATTTTCTATGGGTAAAATCCTAGTTTACGGTGCAGCCTTGGCGCGACTTTGAAAATTATCGCCAACACCAAAAATGATCCAAAGAACGTCTATATATACACTATATACTAAGTGTGTATATACATATACTATATATTTTCTTTGAATGACCTGTTAACTACTCATCGTATATGTCCCATTTTTACTGCTCATCATAATGTCGCCAAATCCTGTGTGCATCGGATACTAGGATTAAACCTTTCCATGTTCTTGATTCCCAGATTACAAATGAATATGAATCTTAGGATTTATTTTTTTGAATATGAACTAGAAGCATGGGAGAAGGCTGCCTCTTTTTCCTCTCTCAATACAGTTCTCTCTTTTCCAGAGTGAAAAGAGGATTCTAGATTACTGTAGATGATAGAAGTGTTTTGGCAGAATGCCAGCTAAGGTTGCATTTGTGATAGCTCTATAGATGGTCGTTCCACAAAAAACTGTTTAACATATGTTACTCTATTACAAAGAGGCTCTTAATTTTCAGTACGAAAATAAAAACAGGTCACTGAATTGTACCAATATTCAGACCCAAATGATTTAGTTAGTTAAAATTACTGGAAAGAAAAAAGAAATTACCCAATCAGTAGTAAATGGAGCTCCATTTGTCATTAATATTCGAACCTCTTCTGTCTCGCCGAGCTTGGCCGACTCCAAGAGTCGCTTGCCCAAGTCGACGAGAGACATCATAAACTTGTATCAATACCTAGAATAATTAAAATCAATCGTAAAACATTAGACAGTTATTTTAAAACTGGCATAATTTACACTGAAAATGCACTTAAAAGGAAACCAAATATTTATTCAGCACCAACAATAAACTAATAAGAACCTTTCAAGAAAAAAACAATTGTAATAAATTTCACTATTCATATCATATACACATTTACCTACTTCCAAAATTTACTGTTTATATCATGGACACACCTATGTCCAAAACTTCATCTTAAAATCTCCACACAAAATCACAATTACATGCAGCAAGCAAAAATCGTAAATGCTAAATTTACATTAATACGATAAAAATAAATATTACACAAAAATCTGTAATTTCTAATATTATTTTGCAATAATGATGCATATAAGTACTTCTCCATAAATTTACTTTAAAAAAGTATTCCTGCTTAAACATAATTAGTTCAAAATTACGCAGTAGAAATTTATAGGAACAAAAAAAAAAATATTTTATGTTTCCAGTGCATAATGACGATGCAGTATAATTTTAGTAATCTGGATGTATTTACAGCACTGTGTTATTTTTTGTAATCAAAGAATAAATTTTCTATACCCAAAAATAAATATAAAACTAACATGTATGTATAGTTAGTTACATTTGGAATGAAATTAGAGTGAAATTCCGCAGAATTTTATTCCTAAACAGCTGGTATTAAGAGTTCCAAGCGCATTTTATATGAAATTAAAATTACTTAACATGTTAATGAAAAATCGATCACATATTTGAAAAATGTATTTTATTTGGAGATCTGGATAAACTCGACCACACCAGCTACACACGTTATTCAGTTAAATTTAACAAAGACAATTCATTAAAGATAATCTTGTGTGAGATTTCCATACATTACCCATAAAGGTGAACAAGAAGAAAATTTCAAGCAAAAGAAATATTTGTCTAGTTACTTACAGCAAAGTGTTAAACGTGCATTATGTAAACAACATAAAAAGATTATAATGTCACATAATAATATCCACAACCTACATTTCAATCATGGCAGCACATTTCTTTAAGCATATTATAGCTGTTATAAGTCAATTTTTTAAATAATCGCACATGTTTAGTATAATTTTAATACATAATTTGTTATTGAAGAACAGGCCTAACTTAAAGGCGCAATATATAACGGTGCTGACAAACAATAACTAGTTAAATTTGTATAAAATATGCAAGACTTCATTATCTTTTAAGAACATAACACAATTTAAAATAAAATACACTACTGGTCACTATCCACTCCCGGAAGTATACCTTTTGTTTTCCGGAAGCACGCGACGAGCGATTTCCTCCCAAAGCATGGGCGCCATCAATACTCCTTCCTGAAAATGAGTTTAATAAGCGTAGTGGCATAGCAATAATGTTATATTACATAGTTTTTTAATAGCATGAAATACCCTTAGTTACTTATTTACTACATATACATTTATTAACTACATATTACACGTTTAAATGATTATATTATTAACTTTTATTTCGTTGTTATTTAATTAATAAATCAATTCATTACGAAATGAGCCTGAATGTAAAACATAAAGTAAAGTAATATGCGGGAGTATTTTAATGTTACAATGTTTTCAGTTTATTTTGTTACACAATTTTAAGCCGGTATTTTTGATTTTATATCTGTTAGCATTTAATAACATTTAAATATGAAGTTACAAGCAGAACGATTTCAAAACTAAGTGCAGTGCGAACAATATTGATATCGCGAATCACACCGTAATCATGGTTGAAATCCAAAATGAACGAAGTTCCTTTTTACTCTCCTCTGAAATACTGAATACTTTCCTTCGCACCTAAAATTTATTTTTCGCCTGTCGTAGCAAAAAGACTTAGTAGGTGCAAAACAAGACATCTGTCGACTTTGTCTGTCTTAAGCATTGAACGATTTCAATAATATAGCAAATAAATTATTCTACTTTGAAACAAAATTACGACGATACGTGTGCTATTTTAAAAGCTAAAGCATAATTTCTAATCCCGTTGATTGAATTTCATGTATTAATGAAGTGAAATTCTTTCAATGTGATATTTCCATTATGACAGTTTTATTCTTATTATTAGGTACACATTTTTATATAATAAATTTTCTTATTGTTTTTGTGATTTATGAGCATTGTATTTGTATTTCTAAATCCTAATATATCTATTTGTATGACATAAAACATAAATTAGAATGAAAACCTTAATGAAGTCATCATTATATAATTTTAGTTTCATGGTGTCATCTTATTTTCTGTGAGGATCTGTCATCTAGGTGCTCTCCTTGGGTAACAATTGAGGAAGAGCTAAAGCGTAGAGATAATCATGTCAACTGCATTAAGAATGAAAATTGTACTGGGATGAATTGTTCTGGTAATTCAAATGTAAGTTCTGAATTATTTCCTTTGCAAATTCTTCTTACGTTTTTTAATTTATTACCATTTATATTTTATTATCTTAAAAAAGCTCGCCGAGAAGATAATCGTAAATGTACAGTGTTCCTCATTTTATTTTTATGAAGAAAAAGTTAATGTGCCTTTATGAAGTCTTATACATAAGAGTACACTATTGTGATTTCATTAGAAGAATAGTTTCTGTATATTTCTGTTCTTATTAACAGTTTTGAAGTAACGTATGGCTATTTACATTTATTAGCAGCCATAATTTACCCTGAGTATCTTCTCCAAAATTTTTCAGAGCTAATGAATATAGTCAAGTGATTTTTTCTCTTATAATGTTTACTCTTAATGTGAGGAAATTGATTCTGAAATTAACTGATGAATAAATGTAAAGGAAGATACTGATTTTTCAGTATTTAAATTATTTACGTTATGTCAATTTTTTTAACATACTTTTTAGTTTAGATGTGATAATAATATTTACCTATAACTAATATAACTAATATAAATTTGTTATATTGAATCTTTGTACTAGAATCAGGTTTTATTAATGGATGGGAACATAATATAACAAATTGCTGCTTAACTTTCACACTAAAAAATTAACCTTTAGTCTAAAAAATATAAAAATTATGGTTTGTAGCCTACAAAAATTTATTAAATTACCTTTAGCTAACTCTAATGTCCACTCTGTGACAAAAGTACAGTCGGTTTTAGAAGTCTTTTTTTTTTTTTTTTCAATATTTATCAATATGCAAATCTGTAAGTAAATGAACTTGAGTTCAGCCTTTCAGTTTGCTTATATTTAAGGAGGCAGCTGTTATAATGGTATAAGCAATTCAGTTAATTATTGGAAAATAAGGTTGATCTTTACATTATGGTAACTTGGCGTTTTTTTGGCGAAAATTTGGCGATTAACTCTCCTACAGCAACCCTCTATTTTTTTTTTCCCGCCGCCATTTTGTCTTCACGAAGTAAAGACATGTTTCTTTTCTTTTTATCTACTGAACACTTCTTCCAACAATCTACTAGCCGAATTACACTTATGCTAGAAATTTTATCTAACAAAACTGCTTAATCATGACGAATATTCACTGCAAAATTGGGAAAAAGTGCACAATACCATACTCCTTACGCATTTTTCAAAATAACACATACACATAAACCATGTACACGTCGACCTATTTTTACTTAAAAAAACATCCCAGAATTAGAAAAAAATGGCATTGCGCACACTCTTCACTATATCCATGTACACTGCTTTTTTCTCATAAATTAGAAAAATTTCACGAAAATGCATAACAATTTTCTGAATCTTTAAACCCGGTAAAAAGAACATATATGAAATTACCTGATCGCGAAAAAGTACATACCCTTTCCAAATATGAACATTTCCCTGTATAAAATAATAAAATATCCAAAAACTTTAACAAAAACTCTACATTATCTATTATATTACAAACGTCACTAACTAATTCATACCTTTACTTCATTACAAATGGTTACAAATACTTAGTGTCAAAAATTAAATTATTTCCATGCACGTTTACGCAAATTACTTTACTTCCACCTTACATTTAGAACAATGCATAAAAATAATATCCTCAAATAATTAAAAATACTAACTTACCTATTCTTCTTCAGAATCTTGATTACGTGTCCGATAAACTTTTCTTATTTCTGTTTCAGGATCTTTAAAATCATACTTATACCAAGGTACCAGGTAAAATAAATAACTTAATAAAACATCTTTACTTCTATTTCGCACAACCTTAAAGAAACACTTACTACCCCTTTCAATCCCACTAAATACCCATTTCGAATTCACTTTAGTTAGGGCCATGGGATCCAAAAATTAACGAACACTGTTTCACACAACACAGAATAAAGGCAAATACAAAATTTCCAGATTTTTTCCCGATTTGCCCCCCTTTTCCGATTAAAGAACCGTAATTCGTCCATTAATATCACATGACATATCACATGATCTCTCATTTCCCTCACACAAAATAATGCGTAATCGGAACTGAGTACTGCTCACATTATTACCAAAGTCCCAGGAAGTAACCTTTATCGCCTCCAAAATGTCGCCAAACTACCAGTTACCATATTGTAAAGATCAGCCAAAAATAATTTCCTTTGAGGAAAAATAGGATTATGTATTTGGCAACAATAATTTTTAAAACCAAATTGGGAGAGCAATACCATTTTATATTCAAGTACATATTTTGCTGCATAAAAGATGTATAAATATATGTTTTCACTTAAAAAGTAAGATGTTTCTCAAATCCGGCATTACGCACTGGCCTCGATTATGATCATATAATGACAGTTGAAAGTTCAGTATAATCTCCAGCTGAATGAAAATAAAAGAGAGGAAACTCTATAATTCCATTATGATTCATTTCAACAAATGTACATAATGCCGAAAGAAATTCTAAACCACTGAATTTCAAAAAAACAAATCCACCATATGCTCAAATACACATGCATGATGAGTAGACCTAGGTTTCTATATAAATATTTTTGGTGACATGATGCATTGCTTCAAAATTACTTTTTCACAGATGATCAGAAAATAAAAAAATTTATTTTATAAAATACCCTCTTCTCTAACATTTTATGTATTTTAAACTGTGTGAATTAAGGAGGGAAAATATGTCTATCTCTTTATATATATAAGTATCATAAATTTTTTATTTTAAAGCAAAATTTGCTTCAAAATTACTTTTTCACAGATAATCAGAAAATACAAAAATTTCTTTTATAAAGTACCCTCTTCTCTGACATTTTATGTATTTTTAAACTGTGTGAATTAAGGAGGGAAAATATGTCTATCTCTCTCTATATATAAGTATCATAAATTTTTATTTTAAAGAAAAATTATCCTAAAATTATTTTGAATCGGATTTTGATTGCATTCCTCTTCTTATATTTTTGTATTTCACATATCTGTAGTTTTCGGGATTTCTTCTCATTTCGAGACAATTTCTTGCTGTTTTTAGCATATTTATTGGGAATTTTGGGTTTTACTGGCATTGAATTTCATTTTCTTTTGTGTCTGTGAATTTTGTGTATAATATATATATTTAAAAGGAAAATTAAGATTAATATAAATTAGAGATTCTTCAAGTAAATTCTGTTTTAATGCCAGGTTAACAATTAATACTAAGCAAATAAGCCCAAAATTGCTTGCACAATTAAAAAAAAATTGATATTTAAGCATAATTTGAGGCATAGAATAGAACTCTGAAAAAAAAAATTGGCTTCAGAAAATTCTAATTTTGTGTCAAAATTGCTTATGCTCATAACGCTTTGTATAAATACAGTATAAAGTCAGAGATCTGGAATCATCCTGACTTTGGCAATTTTGGATGTTAGATCATTGGTTTAAATCTAATGAGATAACATTTAGAAACTATAAAATTAAAAATATTAAATAGTGAAACATTTATGGCCATAAGAGAAATAAAACTTTACAAAAAAAAAGCTCCATATTTATTTGTTTTATTAAACATTTCTTTCAGTTTAAGTTATTTAAACTTTCTTTTTAATTTTATAGATAGATAATTTCTTGTTCACATACAAAGTTTTATTGTCCAAGTTCTGTAATTGCCGTGTTGAGAATTCCGGTTAATCTTTGGATTATGGTAACTTGGCGAAAATTTGGCGACCAACTCTGCTACAGCAACCCTCTATTTTTTTTTCGCCGCCATTTTGACTTCACGAAGTAAAGACATGTTTCTTTTCTTTTTATTTACTCAACACTTTTTCCAACAATCTGCTACCCGAATTACACTTATGCTAGAAATTTTATGGGACAAAACTGCTTAATCATGACAAATATTAATTGCAAAATTGGGAAAAAGTGCAGAATCGCAAACTCCTTGCCGCGTTTTTTAGAATTGCACAGTAACCATGTACATGTCATGTACACGTACACACAGTAACCATGTACACGTTGACTTATTTTTACTTAAAAAAATATCCCAGAATGCACAAAAATGGCATCGCGCACACTCTTGACTTTATCCATCTACACTGCTATTTTCTCATAAATTACAAAAATTTGCACAAAAATGCAGGAAAATTTTGTGAATCTTTAAACTCTGTAAAAAGCACATATATGAAATTACCTGATTGCAAAAAAGTATATACCCTTTACAAGGATGAACATTTCCACGTATAATATAAATAAAAATATCCAAAAACTTTTACCTCTAAATTATCTATTATAAACGTCACCAACGAATTTATAACAAAATATTAAAAATGGTTACAAATACTTAGTGTCAAATATTTAAATTATTTCCATGCACGTTTACTTCACTCTGAAATGTGTACCAATTGCTACAAACTTATAATTCACAAAATAACTATCATTTAATTAAAATATAATTAAACCATGTACACGTCGACTTATTTTTACTTAAAATAACATCCCAGAATTGCACAAAAATGGCATTGCACACACTCTTCACTATATCCATGTACACTGCTTTTTTCTCATAAATTAGAAAAATTTCACGAAAATGCATGAAAATTTTGTGAATCTTTAAATTTGGTAAAAAGGACATATATGAAATTACCTGATCACGAAAAAGTATATACCCTTTCCAGGATGAGCGTTTGTACGTATAAAATAAATAAAATATCCAAAAACCTTTCCCTCTAAATTATCTATTATAAACCTCACCAGCCAATTTATGACGCAAACATTAAAAATGGTTCCAAATACTTAGTGTCAAATACTTTCCATGCACATTTACTTCTACTCAAACGTATTCCAAAATACTACAAACATATAACTCTCAAAATCACGATCATTAAATTAAAATATAAGTAAATTAAAAATCACTACTTAAAATATAAATAAGCACATACATTAAATTAATAAAAATTAACTTACAATCCTACTAAATCATTTCTAATAACAATTTTCCAATAATACCATATTAATTTATTTACTCCTTACATTTAGAACAGTGCATAAAAATAATATCCTCAAATAATTAAAAATACTAATTTACCTAATCTTCTACAGAATCTTGAGTGCATGGCTGATCACAAAATGTCCATTTTCACCAGATTTCTTGCACCGCCATTCAAACTTATCTGTAATATCCTTCCTTTCACACAATCTCATTTCATTCCCACATGTTGGACATTCATACTTATCCGCAATTAAGCAATTCTTTTCAATTACACATAAACGCAATAAAAATTTCGGATTTACTTTATATAGGGCCGTGGGATCCAAATATTAAACAACACCGTTTCACAGAACATAGAATGAAACTAATGCTATAAAGTACAGCAGATATTTTTACAAATTTACCCCCTTTTCCGATTAAAGAACAGTGATTCATCCATTAATGTCACATGACATATCTCATGATCTCTCATTACCCTCACACAAAATAATGCGTAATCGGAACTGAGTACTGCTCACATTATTACCAAAGTCCCAGGTAGTAACCTTTATCGCCTCCAAAATGTCGCCAAACTACCTGTTACCATATTCCAAAGATTAACCAGAATTCCTACTAAACTGTTAATCAGAATCTTTTCATTCTCAACAACCTCTTTGTTACCACTATCTAATCATTTTACAGATTTTGTCATATGTTAGTTGTTTCATTACTAAAGCATTGTTGTTGCAGTGGAAAATATATGACATATTACAGTAAAAGCCTGATTCTGTGGCATTTAGCTAATTGGAAAGCTCAAGTAACTAGAATATCTTAGCATTTTATAAAAGTTCACCCCCCCCCAAAATTTAGTAAATTAGAGATTTCTAATGCCATTATAGAGCCTGTAGTACTATTAGCACATATACATTGTCACCAAACAGTATGATTTAGTACTACTAATATGTAAGCATCACGTCACAATATAACCATAAGAAATTCATTTTGGATTAACCTAAACTTGACTAATTCTCAAAGAGCCAGTTTAATTTTTGTAAAGAAGGATATGAGCCAGTGGTGTAGTGAGGGGGGCAAGGGGGTGTATGATGCCCCGGGCGCCGCTCGCAGAGGACCATGAACTTCTTTTTTCTGTTTCAACTCAATGGTATATACGAATTTGATTAAAAAATAGACAGTTATTTTATGCATTAAAACATCCTATTGCTGCTAGTTCTTGCTAAGTAATTTTTATTTCAATTGAGTGATAAATAAATATTCATATAAAATATAAGCAGATGAGTTACATTTACATCTCTTTCTGATGTTTAAGTGTGGCTCTTGTACAACATGCATGGTCAGCTTAATGAAAGGAATATTGCTTATCTGTTTTTTACTTACTACTAAAGTAATGTAGAAAGAGGCTGCAACTGGGAATGAAGAGTATTAAAGCTGAGCTGTGATTTTTTTTTTGTGTGTGTGTGTGTGTGTTTTCTGTTATTTTCATTGATAATGTATCAAGCTAAGTGTTTTCTAATTGTGGAAGAAGCTCTCGACTAGTTTGATATGCTAAAATGAGATGTTTCAGATGATGATGTATGCATTATTCGACCTAATGAAAGTGGTGATGTAACCGAAAAATGAGGCCCTCAGTGATGAAAATTTAGAAAAAATTATTCTGACGAATGTAACAGGAGAATTGGATATTTTTTGTGAAGAAGAAGCTTATGTTGAACCATCAGTGTCACATACAAGAATAGAAACAGACAATGTGGATAAAATTAGTGATGATTCTTCTATACAAAAAAATAAATAAGTAAATAAAATAAATAAATAATAAATAAAACCTGGGAAAAATAAGATGGAATAAAAGAAAGCAATTTATTTGTGTATTTTCCAATAAAGAAACAATTGATTTAAAAATTGATTTCCCAGAGTTATAAGATCTAGATTCTATTAAAATTTTTTAGATAATTTTTCCAAAATATTTTATTGAAACATTAGCTTGCAAAGATAACACTTTATGCAAGTGAAAATGGAGAGATGATTGCTGTTGACCACACGGGCCCAGTTTTTAGGTTTGCTCTTCCTGGGTGATTACCATTGGGTGGCAAAGGAAGATTATTATTGGAGTACAGCATAAGACTTGAAAGTTGGTATTGTTCCAACAGTAATGTCAAGAAACTATTTCCGTGTGATTAAAAAAGTTTTTGCAGATAAATGGTAACTGTAAACTGAAATCATGATAAGCTTGGAAAAATAGTTCCAATTTATGAAGAACTGGAAAAAAATTTCCATCAGTTGGTAACTTTTAACAAAAAATTGAGCATTTGATAGATCGATTGTACCTTATTTTGGCTATCACACTTGTAAAGTGTTCATTGAAGGTAAACCCGTTAAATTTGGCTTTAAAATACGGATCTTATGTAATCATCCTGATATCCATATGCAATGGAAATTTATACTGGAAAGAATAATGACTGTGGGTGAGCATGTTGTGATGCAACTCCTCTCCACAATTACAGAATGCTGATCCATGCAGGCATGAGCTCTATTTTGATAACTTTTTATGTCATAATTTATTGACAAAATTAGCAGATTCTGGGAAATTAGAGCTACAAGTACAGTCTGAAGTAACTGGATCAGGCAATGTCCTTTAACAGACAATAAAACATTTGCCAAAGAGCCCAGAGAATAATTGAATTGTCATTTGTCGATGGAATGACTACACAGTTGGGGTAGTTGCTTCGAGTCACCAAAGGCATGAACCTACTTCAAATACAAAGCAATATTCTAAATCAGGGGGAAAAAAGAAAATTGGTATTATCCAACCTGCTATTATGAAGCACCGCAATGAAGGATGGGTGGCTTTGATATTCTGAATAAGCATGTTTCATCATACAAACCACAACTTTGAAATAAAAAATGGTACTGGAATTTGTTTGTAAATTTTCTAAATATAGCTATAACAACATCTTGAATAATTTATAGAGCTATTCATAGAAAAAATTCAGTCCCACATTTACAGTTTTGTTAAGACATAATGATGAAATTACTGCCTTCCAAACCACAACTTGTATCTCAACCTGGACTGAAAATGCTTGTTCCATCTAAACTTAGGGAAACTGAATCATTTTCTAATATCCTCAACACAAGGGCACTGTGTTGTTTGCCAAAAAAACTGCCCAAACTTGTGTGTTGAGTGTGACGAGAGAATGCATAAAGTATGTTTTCTTTCATATCATGGAAAATAAAATGAAAGTACAGATGGATACTACTCTGTTATCAGGACCAGATTCAGAAATGTATAAATGTATGCATGTGTATATGTTTTATATGTGTATATGTATATACCGACAATACTTTTGTACTTACATATATACATGTATACATGAACACATACATCTATACATATATGCATAAATACATACATTTCTTTATCCGGTCCTGATAACAGGACAACAGTACCTAAAGATGTAAAAAAATAAAAAGGTAAATAAATTTAATGTAAAGTTTTATAACAAAAAATATAAATAAAAATATTTCATAATCCTTTATTTAAATTTTTTTTGTTTATTTGTTTTTCATTAAAAGAAATTATGTAAGAAAAGTACTCATCAGATGTCAATGTTCCCCATTTGGGAACATCTGAAAAATGTGTGTAAATTCATTTTCATTAAATATTTTTGCTGATTACTTATAAGAGTATATAATGTATATAAAGAAGCAAATTTAAGTTTAATTTTGATCTACTTCATAATTTGGCCAATAAACGGTTAATTTTGAGGCTATGGCTTTATTCATTTTTTTTGCAGGAATTCTACTTTTTGCTTGATTGACATCAAAACATTCATTCACTTTGCTGCGATTCCAGAATAAGAAAGTCTTTTCAACATATTCAAAAATTCAAACTCTAATTTTATAAGGTAATTGTAATAGCAATAGTTTGTGAAAAATGAATAGCTTGACCATAGAAAGTGAAAAAGAAAAAACCGTTTATTATGTTGTGTTTTTCCTTATTCCTTTCTGTAGCCAGCATCAATACAATGTCAGTCAATGTATTGTCAGAGTACTTAGCCAGTAGGTGTTTGAAAGCAATTTGAAAGAAGGAATCACAATTAGTTAGGAGAAGAATCACTTTTACAAATTTCTCAAAAAGAAAAAAGAAAAGAAAATGCTGATGGTCTGGATATTAGATCATTCCAGTTATTCAACATTCACATTTTGCATTTTGTACTGTATGTATCTTAAGTTACAATTTCAGACATGAAAGATAGATCATTCCAGTTATTCAACATTCACATTTTGCATTTTGTACTGTATGTATCTTAAGTTACAATTTCAGACATGAAAGATGAAAGCTAAATTCAAGTTACTCACTGTCCCCCCCCCCATTTCATGTGGATTCCACAGTGTAATCTTATACCCTTTATATTGGAACATTATGATGACATTTCAAATGTTTTGCCTTCATATTATGATTTATTCATTGTTCATCATATTATGATTTATTCATTGTTCAATTTCAGGATAATTTATTTAAAAGTTCATTTAAATATTTGGTTGGCTAATATTAAATAGTAACTTTAAAAATGCAATTTTATTTTATAGGGCTATGACGTTCATGGTGGTATTCTAATTAATTCATGTGAAAATCCTCCTAGTATAGAATTCTTTGTTGATATTCCAAATTTGTATGTCAATAATTGGAAAAGGAAATTTTACCATGGGGACAGTTTTACATTAACAAGTAAGATAAACGTAAAGTTTGTTGTTTTCAGTAATAATATTTTAGATCTGTTTTTATAATGCATGTTATGATATTTAATTTTTTATTAAATGTGCAGGGATAAGAATTAAGTGGAAAAGAGACGAGGGATGTTTATTTTGCTATACTCACAAGTTGGAATTAATCCTTAACTACTTTATTTTCTCATATATATGTTACGGTGAAACACCGAAATCTGGAGAATGTCGACTTTCACCGGTGAATGTCACCATTCACATAGTCGCTTGGTGTATGTCCGAAATATTTTCCAAATACTCTTATTTCTGACTTACACCGGTCAATGTTGACATTCACCATATACTAATGGTGAATGTTAAACATATAAGAATATTATATTTCCTTCTCCGTAATTCATTCGTGAAAAAACGCACTTGAGACAGAATAAGAACTTAAGAATATAAGAAACACACAGTACATTCAAAATGAGAAAGGAAAATAATAGAAGTTAGTCGACATTCTCCAATTTCGGTCTTTCACGGTAACATATATATTTCTACCTTTCTTATCGATATTACTTTATTCCATTAAAAGTAAATTTTTAATCTACACTTTAAATAAAATATATTAAGTAGATAAAGATGTGTAGCATATTGGCTGTGTAGCATCAGAAGTAAAATGTAGAATTGCTACCTTGAGACAGCATTAGTTAGTTATACTGTAATTCCCTTCTATAAAAATCCACTTTTGTGATCTGTTCTCCCGTGTTCTTCCTATCTGTAGGCAGCAGGCTAAAGTTGTGGAATTGCTTGATAAGTTAGGTTCTCAATATGTATATTCATAGTTTAATGTGTGTGTTATATGAATAAAATTTTCTTGTCTTCTATGAACACATCTGTATCTTAGCAGATACTCTCAGATGCTTTGTTATAATTAAATTATTCATTCATCTCCCTCTGCTTTTTTAAGAATTGAAAGAAATATTCTAGTGTATTAAAACCAGTATTTTCACACGACATATTAGTTTTCTATTTCAAAGTTATTCTGGTTAATATATCTGTATTTAATTATAGTTAAAAAATTATGAAGGTAGCTTTTACGTTAATATTGCTAACTCTTCTTATTATGAAAAGCATTTAAACCACCAATGGCCAGTCAGCAAACACTGATTGTTAGATCTAGGTTCAAAACTCTGAATGGGCTTCCACATGGGATTCTTCGTGCTTTTCTCATGCATAACATAAGCTAATTTCCCTTAAAGTCATCCAGAAAGCTATTTTCAAATCTTTTCTCATAAACAAATAGCCCTTATATGCTTTACCACGATCTAAAAAATCCTATTCGATATTGACACTGTCTGATTATCTGCATCCCCTCCCTCGACTTCAACCAAAAAATGAATTTGTTGGTGACTTTTGAGAGCATTAGGAAACTCACTGGTGATTAAGTATTTGCCAAGCTAATATGCAAAAGGCAACAGTCGTTTTCCAAATGTCATTCCGCATAGAGTACCGTACAAGAGCTATCAGTCGCTAAAATTTAAAAAGCAAGAAACATCAAAAGAAAATTGTGCAAACTCATCTCCATACAATATCCACATTATGCACCAGTCAAAAGAGATACGTTCTACATGCACCTCTTCTTCATTGGCTTGACAGCCGAGGGTTGGCCCCGGTCTTCTCCAGAAGTCTCCAGGCATCTCTGCTTTTGGCAGCTGTTTTCCAGTTTTGACATTTAAAATGTTTAGGTCATTTTCAACACAGTCGATCCATCACACTGGGAGGTCTACCCCCAAGGTTCTCATGGGCTTTGCCAGAAAGATTTTCTTACAGCACCGATCTTCATCCACTCTGACCAGATGACCGGCTGAAGTCTCTGTAGTTTGAAGAATGTATACATCAGTGTTGCCACATAAATATTTTTTAGCAACATTGTGGGTTGCCACACTTTCTGTGCAGTCATGGGTAATCAGAAAATATCCCAATAACTATGTAAAGCATATTGACCCTTGTCTTTAAGCTGTCACTAAATACTGACAGACATTATTTCTGTAACCTTTTTTTTTTTTTTTTATATTATTATTATTATTATTATTATTAGTCCAAAGAGGCGATTTGCCCTGAAGGACTATTAATTTTGTTTTGGTATTTTGCATTGAAAACTATAAACAACGAATCATTTTTCAAACTGTTGCCACCAAATATTATTGCCCTGTATTATATTTAAAGAAGTTGAATAGTGAGGAATCTGCATGAATGTATGTATGAACCGTTGTGATAAAACAATGGTACCTAAAGCCATCAAAATTTGAATAGAATATGGGCATGTGGAAGCCCTAATTTGAATTTCAAATTTGCTTTATTAGGGATTTCAGATTTTGCAGCACTTCAATGAATTTTTGATTAAAAGGCTAAACGAGTTCAAAGCGAGCAATGGCAACACTGTACGAAAAACATTTTTATCTCCAGTGCTCGAGACTCTGTATTGGAAATTCTAAAGATATGCTCATTTTAAAATTATTATGCGATATTGCTGTTGAACTGAATTTTATGGTTCGAGTATGTAGGACATGATATTTAATAAATAAATTTAACACAGAAAACGTTAAAAAAAAAAAAGTAGCATCAGTTTAATATAAATTTTAATTAAAACTTTTTATTACTTCAAGGGTGGTCAGAAGCATGTTCCTCTTTTTCAGGAGCAAAAAATATTCAGAATCTGTGTCAAGTTGCTTTTTTGTTTGATTTTAAGCTCAAGTTGCTTTTTTACTTGATTTTAAGCATTACATTATGCCATAATGCATTACAATCCATCTGACTTGGCAAGTATGATAGTTACAGGAAACATTTTCTGTGCAGCCTTGCAAGTAACTGATTTCCATAGAATTGCTATTCAGCATACCCATTTGTAATGTAGATACAAGCCAGTTTGCCTCAGAAAGTCCTTCACAAAGTAACCCTCCCTAGGAAATTACCTTCATATGCTTTCTTTTAATCCAGTATTTTAATTTCTTCCGATCCAGTACAATTAACATAACATTCCTTATCTTTCACACTAAATGTTCATCATATGTGGGATTTAAAAGCAACAAATGCACTTTTTGCATTTGAACAAATGCACAAAATCTTTTTCTTTAGTAATAATATTTTTTAAATTCAATATATATATATATATATTGTTTCAAAAGAATAAAATGAATTTAAATAAAAATTTAATTAATTCTTTGCACCATTGCTGCAAGGAATGAAATTTAAAATTTAATTTAAACAAACATGTATTTATGTAAAAAAGCAAATTTAAAGTTAAAATAATTAAAAAAATGTGCAAATATATAAAAGATTTAATTTTTGAACTAATCTACAATATCATTTAAATTCAGATAGCATAAGTAAAACCAGTGCAAAACCAAACCATGAAAAAAATTCACCAATTTAGCAAATTAAAATTAACCTAATTTTTTTTTTAAAAAAATGCATGTGTGAATGACTGTTGAGCCGTCACCATCGAGATAGATAAGGCCTGCGCTCTGAAACAAAACTGGCTTGTGACGTCACGGTTAAAGGACCCTCAGCAAACTTTTTGTTGGCTTTTATAAGTTGTAATTTTTTATTCATTATGTTTTAAGAATTGAATTTATGTTTACTTTTGACATATGAAGCATCATCCCTTGTAATAATTGCTAACACTAGTAATATAAAAATTGTCAGCAAAATTTATGATTATTTATTTTAATTGGAAACTAATTTTATATGAAATAACTGTCCTAAGTGGTTAAAAGTATAACACTTATTTCATTACATAATATGTAGAATATCAAATGCAAAGTAAATTTTATTCTTGACAGAGTGCCGTGTTCTTAAATTTAAATATCAATGTTGTTTGCAAATCATTAAATATCATTTTATCATGATGAAACTTAAATGCATATGTTTAGCTAATATAGCTTCTGTTCACTTTTATATATGTTATTATCATGCAATCAGTTTGTTTAAAATTTGTTATGCAATATAAATCTTTCTGAGAATGATAGAAAAGTTTCTAAAGTAATGTATGTAAAATTCATATTAAGGTAATTAAATTGCGAAACTGCAAAATGAAATTTTAAAAATGTACAGTTATTGAAGAAGCAGTAGTAATTGAATTCATATGTAGACATACTTGTTTTCATTGTATTTCAATTCAATGCAATTTTAAAACAATTTTTTTAATTATCTTTTAAATTACAATCTTTAATTTGAGTATGTGGCACCACCAAAAGCTACGTAAGTTAAGTTAAAAAATTGCTTACATTATACAGATAAGTTTTTAACATGATGTTAGGATTTATATTTTCTTTTCATGTGGATATTAATAGAAAAAATGTTTTCAGAACAGAGGTAACGCTTATAGGTATGATGTAAATATTTGCAAGAAATTTCAGTTTCTAAAAGTTTTTTAAGTATTTCGTATATTTTAAAAATAATTTCAAAAAAATTGTGTATAACTTTATTTAAAAAACTTTTTTCCTGTCTTATTTGGAATTTTAATATTGATAGTCTTCAGAGCTATGTAATAAACATTATCTCAATTTAACTGCAGATTCTGTCGAATAATTATGTAGCATTAAGAGGAAAACATTAACTGTAATACAGATTAACATACAATATGTAAGTAAGAAATAATTTTAAAACTAGACTATTTAGTAATTTATTACATTCAGAAAAATTTTCTGACTGATATAAGGCATTTAAATGTTAGTCTAAATATTAAGTAGTCTCTTGCATTCGTTTGATGTTTTATAATCCTGCTACATTAATATGATAGATATAAAAAATATGCACTAATTATAGAATAAGAGATAACGTGTTCCCACTAGCAAACATTTTGTTAAAGTAGTGAGTGAAACAAAAAAATTTGATGCGGTGATGAGAATCAATGAGAGACACAAAAACAGTGCAGAAAAATCAAAGTAAAAATTTTAGCTATTTGAATTTTAAAACCAATTTTTCTTCAAAGAAATGATTTGCTTTTAAAAGCACCACACC